CTAGTTTATGTGTACGATATATATATATATACAAACACAAAAATGTATGTATGTATGTAAAAAAATAAATATATATATACATATATATATATAATAATTTTCTTGTAGTGGCTTTATTGATGCGGTTGTTTATTTTTTGTAGTGACAGTCTTTATAAATAATTAAAAACACTTGAATCAGTTTGAATAATTCATTTCTGGAAGGCGTCTGGTGTTTTTCTTACAGTAGCGTGTTGAATAAATTAATGTTCATTCATTGATGTGAAGAAGCTCTTCTTTTCTCTCTGCTGTAGTTTCAGTGTAAAGTCGAGTCTCACGCACCATTAACACCTACAGAAACATTTTCCAGCTGGTTTTCGCTGTAGTTTGTGTTTCCTTCGCTGTCGTCTGTGTCATATTTATTTTTCCACTTTTCTTTTGTGCGATCGGTGTGAAGCAGCATCAGTCTGTCTCCATGTTTTTGTGAAATGAGCCGCTCAAGACGATTTCTTTCAGTTTCCCACATTTAATGAAGGTAAATGAAATGCCTGCGATCTGTTTCTGTTTATCCGAGCAGAAGAAGTCCAGCAGAAGGACACATAGCAACAGAGACGAACACACACACACACACCAATCAAACAAAGAAACAAACCGCTGCGCTTCATTCCTCACCAAACTTTAATGAAAATACTCGTGTTCTTAGACAGCAGTGTAGGAAGGCAGAACGGGCTTGGAAGAAAAATAAACTTCTGGTCTCTCACCAGATTTTACGAGACTCACTTCTTGGGTATCAGAAAGTTACCAATCAGCCTATTTTTGAAATATTATATTGCAGCACTCAAACTCACCAATAATTTTGTTTCAAACTATTAATAGGTTTTTTAATCCAAATGCTGTCACGATACCTCCATCTACAGAGTGTTGTGAGAAGTTTTTAAGTGTTTTTTCTGTAAAAACTAAAAACATTAGGTCCAGGTTTCGTGATTTGGATGTAAAGGTAGCAGACGACTCTATTAATGTCAACACTTTTGATGAATTTAATCTGGTTTCATCTACCGATATTAGTCATATTATTGCTCAATTGAAACGCCCAGCTACCAGTTGGGGATGTTTTGCCTTCAGGACTTTATTGGACCAAGTATTACATCTATTGTGAACTGTAGCCTTTCTACAGGTCTTTTTCCGTCATGTCTTAAGCAAGCGGTCATTCAGCCCCTTCTCAAGAAGTCTGCTCTGGACCCTTTGGATTTCATGAATTACCGGCCAATTTCAAAGCTGCCTTGTATTTCAAAAATATTGAAGAAAGTGGTTTTATCTCAGCTGAGCTCTTTTTTTTGGCTAACAATGATGTGCTAGATGCTTTTCAGTCTGGTTTTAGGGCAGGACACATCACTGAATCAGCTTTATTGCGAGTTTCCAATGATTTGTTACTCATTGCAGACTCGGGTAGTCGAGGAGCTTTAATTATGCTCGACCTTAGTGCAGCTTTTGATCTAATAGATCGTGATATCCTTATTAAACGTTTAGAGCATGTTGTGGATCTGAGAGGGACTGTTTTAAAATGATTTTCTTCTTATTTGAAGGGAAGATCCTTTTCAGTGAGGGTTGGGGAATTTTCTTCCTCCTCAGTTTCTATTGATTGTGGAGTACCTCAGGGCTCCATTTTGGGGCCTATTCGGTTTTCACTATTTTTGTTGCCTTTAGGCCTTATTTTTTTAAAAACACAGTATGTCTTATAATCTTTATGCTGATGATATTCAGATTTATTTGCCTATTAGACCTGGAGGATCATCTTCTCATTCATCTTTGTTATTATGTCTTGAGGAGGTGAAGTGCTGGTTAGAGCAAAATCGCCTACTGCTAAATGCGAGTAAATCTGAAGTTATCATTTTTGGGCCAAATAAGGTTGACAGTGACATAAACTATGTGTTAGGTACATGTACAACAAATGTGCGGTCCCAAATAAGAAATATGGGTGTAATTTTTGACTCAGCTCTAACGTTTGATCATCAGATTAAATGTGTGGTGAAAAGTTGTTTCTTTCAGTTGAGGACTATTGCAAAAATGAAATCCTTTTTGTCTGTTGCTGACCTTGAGAGTGATTCATGCATGTATCTCCTCCCGTTTGGACTACTGTAATGCACTTTATTTGGGAGTGAGCCTGAAAACTAAGGGGACTCGTGCATTCTCGGTTGCTGGCCCAAGACTGTGGTATACCCTTTCACCTGACATCAGATCTGCACCCTCAGTTGATGTTTTTAAATCTCGCGTGAAAACATACTTGTTTTCTATGGCTTTTAATTGTTGACTTTTGGAAGATGTAAATTGTTTTAATTGTTTTTCTGTTATTGTTGATTTTTGTTTTTACTATTCTC